GGTGTGGGTGTGGGTGTATGAGGGTGTGGGTGTGGGTGTGGGTGTGGTTGCTAGTGAAATAAAGATCCACACCCGCACCACACCCACATCCACACCCACACCGACACCCACATCCATACACTCACACCCCACACCCACACCCCATACCCACGCCCACCCACACCCACCCACACCCACCCACACCCACACCACACACACCCACACCCACACACACCCACACCCCACCCACAGCCACAGCCACAGCCACAGCCACACCCCACACCCACACCCGACACCCACACCCTTTATAGGGTGTGAGTGTGATAGAGAATAAAATTATGTTTAATTCTTAACCTTCAAATTTTCTAAAAAAACGATGGTTTTTCATGTTTTATTTTATAAAAGTCAATCCAACAGAAGCATAGTGTGGGTCAAGTGGTTAAACCTAAATAAAAAACTTATCGAATAAAATACATTAAAATTGGGAATTTAATAACAATTATAGCAGCTTTAATTTCATTATAATTTTCTTTTTTCTTTTTTCTTTTTATTTAATAAACAAAAGAAAAAAAAATATAATAAATAAATAAATATAATATTTTAATAATAAACTTTAGTCGACGTTTCGACAGTTAATCTGTCATTTTCAAGACCAGATGTTAAGTGTGGGTGTGGGTGTGTGAATGTTTGAGAAGAGAAGAGAAAATAAAATAAATTTCCTCACACCCACACCCTCCATCCTCGACTGTAATTACTAGCTTCTTCAATTTTCAATCGATGGCATCGATACTAACTATAGACATATCAGTAAGTCCCCATCTAGCTTCTTTTGAAAAAGCGTTTTAATATCTTAAATCTTCCACTACCCAAATTTTCTTCTACCGACATGTTGCCAATATTTTGGTATTGACTTATTTCACTGCTCACTTGGTCATCTGATACTACTTTATTTTCTTCGCACACAACATTAGCACCAGGCGAAAGTTAGCTTTGTATTGATCGAATTAATGGAAAATATGATACTTCATTACTTAAATATTGCATATCTATGAAAGATTTATGCTCTAATCCAAAATTGATTAATAGGGCCACTTCAGCGGAGACGTATAAAATACAATTGCAATGTATCATATTTATTCTATTGTGACAGAATACATTTTAATGGCAAAAATGATCCGTTTTATTATTCTTCTATTGCTTGGTACTCTCGTATCGTTTACCAAATGTGAACTATCGAAAGATTTTGGTATCATGATTTTATATTTGACCGATCGGCATTCAAGCGATTACAATCGGTATGGATGTTGGTAAGTTTGACAAGTTAAAAGTATTATTTTAAACACGCCTCCATATTCAGGTGTGGTACTGATGCTTCAAAGGCTACTCATACCATAACTGTTGACGAAACAGATTATTGTTGTAAAATGCAATTGGAATGCTATGACCATATAAAAGGACTGAATGAATCATCTATGAGTGACTGGAAATATCGTACGATTTATTACGATAATCAAATACAATGTGTTGACTTTGATGGAAGTCCTAATCGCGATTTGTGCTTATGTGATAAGCGTGCTGCTGAATGTTTCAAAGGAGCGCTGTCCACGTATAGTGATGACAAAAAAGACATAAGTTTATCGTTGGATTGCCAGCCAAAAGGTCAGTAGACACGTATTTGTTTTGTGTCGAAGAACTCGACTCATCGAAATAATGAGCAGTGCTAGATAGAATAGTCTGCGTATTATTCAATTAGATAGGCAACGAATGTCGGTACTTTTAGCCCGAAGTTTATGAAAATGGAATCAAATATAATGATGAGCGTTTGTAAAAAATATTCACTCATAGAGCTAGGTAGCTCCGATATTATCTAGCTCGGGCAGAAAAATGTTCGCTCCAACTCCAGCTCCGATGATAGACCAAGTTTTACAGATGCAGTTCGACCACAATAATTGTCTTCATCGGTTCTATTTGAAACAGTCAGATAGTCATCAATTCAATCAGAGATTTTTTCTAGAAACAGAGATGTATTTTCAATGATGTACGATCCATTAGACTAGTTTCAGATTTCGCAGAAATTCATTTCAAGTATTTCACGATTATCAATGAATTTTTACTAGAGATATTTCAATGTGAGCCCATCCGAAGATAGTAAACGGATATGCCGTATGCTTTTAGACAACATCCTTGCTCATCATTCACTCATGCTGAAGTAACTGGTCTCTTGTGAATTATGAATCTTGCAGTAATTCGCCAAAAGCTTTTTCAAAGTTCATTGTTTGATTGTCTCAATAATATGAAAAATACTAGTCCAAAACCTAATTATAAAAACATTTAGAGTCACGATTATTACATCTCAAAATAGTTAGTTTTTTTTAACAATTACTCTAATTTTATTTTACGTAATCCTTTGTCTCATGAAAAGAACCTAATTAAGCCGTTTTGTAGACTTTCAAAAGCCATACCACTTCGATCACATGTGATTCAAATCTCCAGTTTAGAACCTGTATGAATATGCTACTTGTTGTTTGTTTCATATTCGAATTATTCCATGTATATGTTAGCTCCATATGTATAGAACGAAAGAGACAAGCAGTGTCACTGATGTTATGTGACAGAACGATGAAAAAGATGACCTTCATGAGAATCGAACCCATACCTCCTGCTATCCTGGCAGTTGTCCTAAGCCAATTAGACTAGAAGGCGCATCTTAATCATCGTTTAGCGTCCAAGTAATTCATCATGGACGCTAACAGTATACCACTGCACTCTATTACAACTATTAGGAGCTTGAGCTAAAGTGCAACGATTGAAGGCCGAGATTTTTCTGAGTAAAAAATGTGTTGCCTAATCGAGACACACAAATAACGTAAAGTTCATTTTTTCAACGACACTTTTCAAGAACCATAGAAGTAAATAACGAAAAATTTCATTTCATGAATCTTCCACAGCTCTTAATAGACAGAAATCGTAGTATCATGTTTTTTGGGTCAAGGCGTCATACGTTTTTGGAACACGTTGTTTTGGATTTTCGAACTTCATCTAAACTAATTAGTTTCGAAATTTTTTGACTTTGTGCAGATTTAATGAAAAATTACATCATTGGAAAGAATTTAAAAAAAATGAGCAAGATGGATACATGTTCTCGAAGATTTATAGTTAAGTCCCCAGCAAATTTCATTTTAAAGTAGATTTCTTAATTGAAATAGCTAGAAATTACAAAAATGAAACCGAAAATTAATTGAGACATGTGGTAGAAAAAAGCCTAACAATTTCTCATCTTTTATTTCATCTAGGAGCTCCTAGAAAAAAATCTTTTTAGCAAAAGATTTTTGGTTTTTTAGTCTACCCAATAGAAAAAGAAAATTCGAGTTTTCTTTTAAATCGGTTTTAGCAGCTTCAATTTAATCTGTCAGAACATAAAATAGTCAAATTACATGTTTAATTGGTATTTGCAAGATTTACTTAATAGATGGGAACCAAATTTGTAATCACTTTATGTAGTCAGAAAAAGAAAAGCCTTACGAGGGAACATTCCCAGGTGTCGGAGCACTTTTGAGTCGGGACTTCGCACATCTTGTAGACCTTAGTGAATTATGTTTACCGTAAACGGAGTTCGGACCCATGGCTTATTCCTAGCGAGATATCGAGGTTTTAGTGAATCT